ATATAGCGCTTTAATTTTCACCATTCACGCCTGGTTTACGCCGTTAAACGATCCGCGTCGTTTTGATTTTTTAATCCGACATGATGCGAATTATTTAGGCACCTCATGGGAAATGGCGGTGTAGTCCCAAGGCAACGAAAAATTTCATCTTATAATAACACGCTTTCAAAAACCAATCCAAGTGATCGGCCAGAAGGGGTTTAAGGCTGTGGAACGTGCACTTAACTCACGATTAACCCATTAGGGGATTAATGTTTATCTTTCACAGGCCGTAAGTTTTTAAAGTAATCAGCGCCTCGCTGATTTACAAAGCGTGCGCCACTTACGAAAAAATTAATTGTTGGAGTACGAGTCAGCCGAGGCTGTTTTTCTGAAAAGTCAGCCAGCGCCTTGTAAAATGAATGTCACTTTAAAGGCCGCGAATAATCTGATCTAATAAACGAGTTAATTTATATTCCATTCTGTTATTATTTATGTGGGTGAGCCTAGTTTCACTTTAAGAAATCCGAGGCTATGGGGAATCGTTACGTAGTGCCGAAAACTTGCACTCGACAATAGCGCACAGTCTACTCACTTAATCAAAAATGAATTTAACATACTTAAGATGAGTTATGGCCACTTGCTGGAAGCGTTTTAATTTATCGTTACTTAAATCTAAATTGAAGCTTATCCCATAGTTGGATGCTAAAAAATCTTGTACACGACATTAATTAATTTATGCGTTTTCACAAATTGTAATCCGAATTTTTTTTCAAAATCAGCTTTCAACGCCACACCGCCTCGTTACCAAATACGAGAAATTAATAAAATTAATTTGCACTAATAAAGATAAATTAAGTGCTATGGGTTTCTGGTAGCACTACGCCTAATTAACCTCAATGATTATTCATTAGTTTTTTCGCAACCAAATTAAAAATTATTATAACCATATTTTTACTGATATTGCCTACCTATTTGGCATCGAAGTTGTTTTCTACTTTTCTACTATCGTTTCCGTGTGCGGCGGGCAATAAAAGAATTCTGTCATTTTTTAAAGTGATAAATGAGACTCTTGAGCTACTTTCGACGTACGCATTTAGGGAACAGATGAATTTAAATTAGAAGGCATATGCGCAACCCGTAAAAATTCTTGAATTTACGAATGATCATCGTGAATTTAAGGGATTCCAAAAATTTTCACATCCGCTTCCACTCCTTAAAATTACCTCTACCCCATCATTTGTAAAATTTTTTGTTCTCAATAACTGAAATGAAGCATTTCATAATTTCCGCCATTTCCTGATTAAGGGCAGCTCAAATCCCCGAGGCAAAATCCAAACATTTAGAAAATCCAATCTGCGAAAACCGACTTTAATAAGTACTCCAATACATTACTGCAATACTTAATCAAGAATACGACGCAGGCAGCTAAATAGAGAATTTTTGTTTTGCAATAAAGTAAAATATTATTCATAATAATGTAATGGTTTCAATATTAACGAGAAATTTTGGGAACCAATACCAATCGTCAGATTTTATGAATTATCATTTTCTTAAGGTGACTGCCCTGGTGACTGCTTTTCTTGAGGTAAAATTCCTGTACTAAAATCTGTGCTGTACATCTTAAGAAGAAGGAATTCTGGAGAAATAAAGAAGAAATTTTGGTGAACAAAATGGATACTTTAAGGAAGGTGGAAGAAGATCAGGAAAGTAATGAATTAAGCCTATTGTTACTTTTTCCGTTAAAAATTGGGCAAATTTAAGCTTTGAGGAAATTTTGGGGGAGATTTTGGGGAATAAAAAAAAAATGTGTGACGAAAAATGGTTGCGAAATGGTCAAAACGAAACTGAGAAAGTAAGAGCCTCGAATACTACCTATTACTGTCGTATATTTATTTATTTGTATAAAATTTATTAATATTAAATCAGATTACGAAGTCATGGCCATGTATAAGGAGTGACATTGGTCATTCGATAGAAAAGTATTGTTCGAACGCGACGTACATTTTTCAATAAATTTCATTTTGGTTAGTTACAATACAGAATTTGTTTCGAATCGTGTTTTGTGCAATAACCACATTAAACTTCCCCTTGGTCTCGACAATAATCAATCAACAACAATTCCTTACTTTTTCCTAATTGTTATATCCCTTCTTACACCACCTTCACAGAAGAAAGTCCGACGGTCCAACACATTTGGGGTAAGTGGATTGATTATTTTTTATACTTCAAGTTTAGAAATTAGAAAGATACTTAACGTCAAAGATTATAGTCCATTCAAAAGTCGAACAATTACGTGTGTAGAAATGGAGCAATTTATGTTAATGCAATTCTGAAAATGAACGGAAAATCTGTAGGACATTTTGGGGATGCAGAATTTCGCAGAAAACGATGAGGAAATAAGAGGAGATTCTGATTAGCCTTCAGAAAAATTCCTGAGGAAGCTATGGAAAATGGAAATGAATTGTGTTAATAGTGTGGATAAATATGTTCGTGAAATTGAAGGGAATAAAAGGAAACCCCCGAAAACGTTTTGGATAGCTTAATCAGGGTACAGTTTCATCACGTATATAAATGCGAATAAACCTTAGGAAAAACCACGGCACTCGCACGACCGGCTACAGCGTATTTCTTCCTATTTCGAATAAAATCGAATAAAAATGTCAAGTCAGTTTGCATGCGTATGTCCGAATCCACTCTGTGCTCGCTGTCTCATGGTCATTTTTAACGCATTTTCTGCACATGTATTTGTAAAAAGGTATAGCTTTTCATCTCACTTTGATCGGCTGGCTGACTGGCAGAAAATGAGGGCCCGTAGAAGGACGAGGAGTGTACGTGTATCGGGGCCATGTGATTAACAACTTTACTGACGAGGGTACATTATGTGGAGTCAGCGACATCTGGGCGCCATCCCCGAGCGTGGTTTACGAACGTGGTGATTTTTTTAGCTTTTCCCGAGGTTTTTCCCTACATTCTTCTACAGTTTTGGTCCGATTGTTTTCCAAGTATTAGTCGTCAATAAATTGGTCCGAATTTGGAATTCGTGCGCCTCTAATTTAGCACTAATAATCACAAAATTAGAGTATATCCGCCCCGGTATTCGCGTAATTTTGACAGTGAAGTTACTAGGTTGAAACTATTCTAAATGAACTGTTTCAAACCAATATAGACAACGATCAACAAACACAGGCGCACGAACAGAAAGTCCAAATGATCAAAATTAATTCAGTTAGTCCCTTGACCATTGTCTATATATTACTGAAAACAGTATTGGATAATTCAAAACCGTTCGCGTTACCACGCACACGGACGGACGGACAGAAAGTCCACAGTCCTTTTGGCACATTTGGAACATTAAGGGCGAATTAAAGACTAAGTTGTACTCAAGTTAGTTTCTTGATTGTTTAAACAATTGTTTAATCATGTAAACACAATATTAATAAACAGAATTGAAAAATTCGCAACCGTTAGTGAGTTGTGTGCACAGACGGACATACAGAAAGTCTAAAATCATAAACTCGCTCGTGAATTAATAATACGTTTTGTATTTAATTTGAAAATTGATGGATAATTTTACTCATGCGCAATTTTTTATAAAGAATTTATGTTGTTTTACTGTAGATATATCAGTGGTAGGTAATGCAGCGAGATTTTTGAGACGTTCCCTGAAAAATGCCAAAAATCAAGCAATTTGTGTTTCAAATTTAGGACTGTTGTACCCACAAACATTTTTTCTGTCGAACTTTCAATTTAAATTGCAACTTTTCGAGATCTCTAATGGAAAACTCAAAACAAATGACACCTTCGTGAAACTCGAGCAGCTTGTATTTTCGAATTGAGGTTCATTTGGAACCACAAATATTGACTCATAAAACCATTTTAAGAAACATTTTTCATTAATTTCGCCACGTGTCTGAGCAGTCTATTTTGAATTTCCATTAAAAAACGCCAATTCAAATGGAATCTCCGCTGTTTTGGACCAATTTGTACATAAATTTTTTTTTCTGAAATTCGAATTTTATACAGGGGTTATGTTCATATACGGATGGGGCTAATTCTTTTGCTTATTTTATGACTAAAAGTTCATATCAACATAGGCCCGGAAACGGTTCGTTATCGATCTACAGGGCGTTATAATTTAATAATTTTTTTAAATTTATATCTGAGATACTTAGTTCAAATTTGGAATGTATGTTACACTGAAGGGCTTACATCATTGGTCATGTGAATGATAGTGAGAATCTAGAGGGTGTTTTTTTTCAGGGGCCATATTCCATTTTCTACCCCTGAACTTTTCGGTGCGCCGCTCGCTGGTAGATTGTAAAATAAGATATTTGAATTCTGTTTTGTTTAGTTTTTTGTAGTTTGCTAATGCATGCCCTCTGGCTTTACGTAAGATTATTAGTTTTGACAGTTCGCATTTGAAATTGCATCTTCTGTTTACAAAAGATATAGAAAGAAAATTTAAAAAATCGTGAAAATATAACACCCTGCTTTCTACTCGTCCATCCGTCTATCCTTTCGCATCCACTATACCACAGGTCCCAGATCTACGCTGTAAACTTGAGACAACAATCAAGATTGTTTCCACATTTAATTATAAAAAATCTCTCAACATCTTGACTAATCAACATCGCGCCTCTGTAAATAAAGTGTAACGAACAGTTGTACCAGATTAAAATCTCGACGCCAATAACACAAATAAAAATTTCTGTTTTAATTTTGCACACCTTTCTGTTGTGTCTTTCTTGTATGTTTAGTCAGCCAAATAGGAAACAAAACATACACGACCAACGCTAACACTGAACAGCTGGCCAAATAAATCACAAAATTATTGTGTTAAATAAATAAAGATTACATTTTTAGTGGAAGTGTATATTTTTACAGCTATAAACAATGCCTATTTTTCAGATCGAAACAATTTTTAGCACACTTTTACTGTTTCGCAAAAGATAATTTCACACCCTCCATTTTGTGTCAGAACTGTTTCCAATTTAAATTAAAACTCATTTTTGTTGCAGATTGAACCACTTCAGTTTCACCAGAAGCAATGTTTAACCATGGTAAGTCTCTTAATTAATGCAAAGAAATGCATTTTTTTTACATTACGACCATAGTTGGCAAATATCTGTTAAACAATAGAAAGGATCTTAACGCCGGGCATTTGCTAATGGACTCTGATTAAAAAATTAATTACCGTGACGTACTCATGTTAAGTTATTTAAATGTGCACATAAATTGGCTAATTAATTAAGCGCATCTTTCAACGCGCTTGGTAAGTAATGCACATTTCGTTTAGTGACGGCAACAAAAGACTTACGTGTAACTGTTTTGTTGTTAAAAAAAATCGATCGTTAGAAACTGATAAACTGTTCTGCATGATAGTTAATAAATGTTGACGGAGGTAAAAAAATAATGAGATCGAGATGAAAGGACGCCGCCGATACATGTATAAATTCCAAATTGAAATTGGGTTACGGACATTGATCTACACGTAACAAACTGTGTGTGTGTGTTTATATAATACAATTGAAATGAATTTTTTTTCTACCGTTAATTACTAACGTCTAATTAACATTTTTGCTATGGTAATATTGTGAATTGTTTTAATTTGCCCCAGGGCTATAGCGACGTAATTTAGATTGGATCTTTACTTTTTTAAGTTCCCGAAAGACCGTTTTATGGTGCGTTGGTTTCGCCAATTATTTTCTGCGGTACTGGTAGCACTGAAGGGGAATTCTGAATTGTATATGGGAGGTTAAAATAGTAAAGCTATTATGGAAAAATTAATAATATTAAAAAAAATTCCACCTGTTTTTCACTGAACGTTTGCACGACTATCGTAATGTCCCCTAAAATCATTTTTGAAAAGCAATCAGGAACATTTTTGTAAATCGTTAAAATGGTACCGATCCTTTATTAAGTATGTGCTACCTAAAAAATTATAGCTTTGCAGGGAAAAATCACTCAATCCAACATATGTTATGGGTGGGCGAGTCTTGGATTCACGGATTCCCTCACGGATTGGACCGCAACCATATTTAGACATATCCGGCAATTTTGTTGGCCATATAAGAATAACAGTTACAACTTTTCTAGAATTTTTAGAATCTGTGTCCAGTAGTTTCTAATACAATATTTCTTTAAGTTCAAAATATTTTGCTCTCCTGGTTAGGGGTGTGCTACCGCTTGTGGCAGAAATTTGCCAACAAAATCGAAAACACCTGAAATACAAATTGTGGGAAATTTAAGGTCGTAGTTCCCAAACGTAAAATTTTTGTACATACTCACCTGTTATATCCTCTACAGGAATATTTCGAGTCTTATCTGTTTGTGTATAGATTTATAATAATAACCAACCAATCAAATCTTCGTTTTTTTTTGTAATAGATCTTGTAACAGTTAGTTACATTACTATGATTAATCCTCGTTCCTACTAAAGAAAATTGATCCTCTACGGCACTGGTAAAAAATTGTAAAACAATTAATTTTACCCACGGCCAACTTCTTACAGAATTTAAATACCCCTTACCTTCCGGAAGCCTTTTATCTCCTTTTTAAATCTGAAAATCAAAACTGCAAGCTTTGGTTTCACTGCAGACAAATAAATACGAATTCCAAAATAAATAATTGAATATATTGACACACTAAATTCGATCGAAATCCATTCTCCGTTATATTTTTTTTATTTAAAACATTGATATGTTTCCTATAAATAAAGAAAATCCAATCTCAATCTCGTGGACACGTTTCTAATTTTCCTGATCTAATGAAAAAATAACCAAATTCCTTTGTAGGGATCCACTTATCATAATTACATGCAATACAAATCTGTCCCATTTAAGGATATTATGATTGCATCAAATAAGCAGCCGCTGCAAATTCTTAAAGATAACTGACTTATAGATATCGCTGGAATTGGTGTTTTTCTTTATGTTACAAATGGTACGGTCATCCCTTTTGAGAAGGTTTCCTCCAAGAAAAATTGAAAACTGCATCGTTTTTGATGAGACCTACTTTGATAAAAAAAATTGCTCGCCGAAGTACTGTAGTATTCGTACGGTGAGTGTTACATATTTCTATATCGCAACTGAGCATAAATCAGCAAACCATTTTTGTGTATTTAAATATTTATGGCATCATTTGACTCAATATATTGGTCAATTTCAGAAAAACATCGACGATTTCAATACGATATTTCCTTTCAAATGCGCTTTAAAAAAAGGTCACCATTCTGCATAGCGTCTCGTCACGGATTAAATAGATACCTGAATCGGCTCTTGACGCAGCGTCTTGTGACGGATGAGTGCAAAACATACAGTCATACCGAGCGATAAGAAATTGTCACTTTATAGTATATTAAGTATGGAGAACGGTAAGGGATTTTTACCGTTCGAAGACAATTGTTTGGAGGAGGAGCGAAGCGACGACTCCAATTATTGTCTGAGAACGGTAACCCTTAACGTTCGACGTGCTTATAACATTTTTTGCGCGATCGAAATTAAATTTATGCAACCAATATAAATATGCACTAAGAAATTAACGAGCAGAATAAATCGAAATGATCGAAGTGGTATGGTGTATATCACTAGGTAACCAGTTTATTTGTCAAAATTGAAGTTAATAATTTCATAAAAATGTGCATGTGTCTGATGTAGTTTACTAGCTTTGAACTTCCTTTATGACTTTATGAGCGTCTTGCTGTAGGAAACAACAGCACAAATTGTACGTTTAATGTACCTAACAATAATTAAAGATTAAATGTAATGTAAGACTGTTGATTTTTAAAAAGGCGTCGGTAAGTATTTTTGCTGTTCTGTTTTTAGATCGGTAAGTAATTTTGACGTCGTCGTAATCATAGCAACTGGTAAATTCTACCTACTGTCATGGAAACACCCATGGTAAATAGTCAGAAATGACCGATCGCGCAAAAAAAACGTTTAATGAATTTCAGGCAATTATATAAAAATCAATATAAAGTACGCCACAATCTGAACTATAGCTTGTAAAAGACTTCAAATGAATTCCAAAATAATTTCATGAATTCTACAAGAATTCCATGAGCCTTCCAAGAATTTCAAAATAATTCCATCAGAGGTTGTATACCAGAATTCCACAGTTGCCCCTCGAGAAATGCCAATTTTAATTTAAAGCTTTGACATCTTCAAGGAAAAGTGGTTTTATTATATGTAGGTTGAAATGGATTATACTTATAGTCTTATTAGTGTCTACATTCTGTTTCAGTGTCAAAAACAAAATTTTAATATAAGCGCAAGCAAAGCAAAAATTAACACCTTCAAGATAAAGTTGTTCCATTAGAGGTTGGGGTGAATGACTTTTGCGGTCATTATAGGATACTAAGGTAGGGCAGATTAAAGAATTAATTTTTTGACAAATTCTGTCTCAATATCAGAAATCGATTTCTTTGTAACGGCAAACAACCCAAAGATACCTTAAGGCCAAGTTATGCCTTTAGGGGTTAGGACGGATTACATTTATCTTTTTAATTTGAATTGACCATTTTACGTTCCAACTTTCCATACTCAAATTGTTGCTGCCCTATAACGCAAGGGGCGCCGAATAATTAATTAAAAATGTAGAAAAACTGACATCCAAAGGTCTAATTTTCAATTAGATCAGTGGTGTAATGGGGGACAATTGGCACTTGCCCTTTCATGTGCAAGGTTTATACTTGCATGTTTCCTATGCAACTTGATTCTCATCCCCTACGTTTTTTTACAAATATGGAAACTACATATTGGATTATGCATTTTTGAAAGTGGTATTACGATACTCGGTAGATTCTGCACTCAAATCTCTTTTAATGGAGAAAAGAGTATTAAATTTCTTAGCTTGTCATGAGATAAACTTGTAGAACCGTGGAACTTGCTGAACGAACTAGTTTTGAATTGAGTGGAATCTTTAACAGCCGTTCGGGATTGGTAGTACAAAAGACACTAACTACTGAACAATTTAGACATCGCTATTTTGGGTGATAATCGGGCATTGAGGGCTTTCAAAATTAATTAGAAGAGAGGAATCGGTTTGAAAAACTTGTAGGGATTCGCGTTTTGGTATTCAAGGTGACAATACAATCCTTAAGATTCGCGTTTTGAAATTCGAAGCGATCATTACGATCCTCCACGTTTTTACCTGGTGGGAGAAACGGGTGATTCAGATATCCTTACCGTAAAGGGTGTTTTTTAGAGGTCTTGTTGGGTTTTCAAAGCATAATATAATAATGACATTTATTTTGCCCATAGAATTCTAATCTGCCAGGGTCGAGTAGATAACTGCACTCGCATTTAGTCCGTCGCGCGAATAAGTCGTTTTCCGCTTACTCATACAATTTTAAATTGTTGATACGTGTAAAAAGCAACTAAAACTCGCTCAGTGGAATTAGTAAAAAAAAAGCGAGTAACGAACTGGTAGTTTCATGATAATTCAATCTTGCATTTACCCTAACGCCATTCTGTGATCTTGTCCCTTTTCCTTATCCCTTTGTGCGGAGAAACTACATCCAAAGGGTAAGTGCAAAAAATTTAGAATTACAGTCCATTTCATTATAAAACAGGTGTAGAACTTTAAAATGAACTAAAACACATAAAAATAATAGTAGTGGCCCTGGTATCGGCTTTATTAGAATGATAATTTTATACCATTAGTGTTTAAGTAAAATATCTGGTGTACCTATCGATGCACACCAAATCCGGCAATTTTAATAGTTGACGTACTCATTCAACCAAAAAGTAGCCTCATCACTAACACAATTTTGTGGTGAAATTGAAAGAAAGAAAGAAAGTTTATTTTCCAAAGCACAAAAAACCGAAAGAAAGAAATAATACATTCAAATTGACAAGATTTTTTTTGTTACAATACATTAAAATAAATATAGACTTAAAGTGCGCTATGGGTACCTCCTTAACATTGTTGTATGGAGGTTACCCTCAGAAATTATATGGAATGTAGTGATGGTGGGCAGGACCCCATATTAGAAGGTATACTTTATGCAATAGCAATAAAAAAAAACTTGAGGATCAAGAGCAATCTTGTTTTGTGCCCA